TTGCATGCAATACCATCTATGCCAGCAATTAGTACAATAAATACAAATACTCAAACTAATAACAGCACATTCTCCTCAATAACAGCAGATAGCGGGCTAAACCAAAGTGTTTGAAAGCATCTTGTGTAACGTCTTATTTTTTATTTCACCCAGCCAAGAATCCGCACACTGGGAGAGAACAACTGTCAAGAGCAGAAACAGATGCAATTGTCCAGAACTTATTAAATGTAGTACTGATGAAATAGCCCTTTCAAGGGATCTCAACCTGCTTTTTCTGCTCTGGCATATAAATATTGAAACAAAATGTCCATACCCTCCCCTCTACTTACTTCTGGTTCTCATTTCTGAGAAGAATAAGGGGTGACATTTTTATCTTCACTCCAAGGCAGGTGAATATTAAGGACAGAGAATATAATTCTACACCACTTCAATAAATCATAATACGTCATGAATTCTGCAATAATTCCAGGAAGATTTGCACAGGAAATATAATTTATACATCACATTTCTGCAATATTTTCTTTATAACTTTTCCTTAATACCTTTGGGTGCAGACAGGTCTAACAAAACCCTCAGGTTCATGTAGGTGTCCTGGATGGGGGGGAATTTCCCCCATCTCCCTCGCCCATAAATTGCTCAAGCTTTGCAGAGGCCTCGAAGGGTCCAGTTAGGCTGGGCACAAAAAGGGTAAAGATTAGGTTGGAGCTGGAGATTTCTTTAAAATCATGCACTGGCCTCTTTCTGTAGCACTCGTTTAACCCTGAAGGAGCACATGGGTGAGCAGAAGAGGAGGCGGCGGCATTGGTCTGGGGCTGGCAGGAGCTGAACTGTACAGCTCCATCAGCGCCCAGAGGATTTCCTTTTCAGGAGTGTTTTCCAGTACTTCTGCTATGATTCATAGAATCACAGAATCTTTAGGTTGGAAAAGACCTTTAAGACCACCAAGTCCAACCGTTGACCCAATACTGCCCAGGCTATCAATAAACCATCTCCTCAAGCACCTTGTCCACACGTCTTCTAAATCCCTCCAGGGATGACGACTCCATCACCTCCCTGGGCAGCCCGTTCCAGTGCCTGACAGCCTTTTCCAGGAAGAAATTTTCCCTGATATCCAATCTATCCAAGACAGGAGGGACAGGCAGGAGAGCCTCGGTCCCTGACACAAAGGCTGGAGCTCAGATCTACTTCCCCTCAAACAAGTGCTATTTATAGTGGGCTGAATCTGAGCATCTCCTGAAGTTCAGGATTGAGCGAGTCTGGCAGGAAAAGCTCCACAGGAGGGGAACATGGATTGATGCTACCTGCAGACCCTGTTTGTTTACCCCCTGGGAAGGGGTGGCTCAGATCACACCACGTACCGCGCTGACACACTGGTTGCTCACACAGAGCCCCCCCCTTCACCTTTAAACGGAGCCCAACTCTCCTCCCTCAAACCAAACCTGCTCCGGAACTTGCAGCAGTGGCTGAAGTCAAAAGCAAAACCAATTCTACCCGGTTGGCTCTCTGATTACCGAGCAGGGAGAGAATTGCTGCTGCTATAGAAACAGCAGCCACCAGCCCGGCGACCACGCTGCCGGCAGCCCTGGAGATGGCTCCAACCGCGGGACGCGCCACGGTCCACGCTCAGCTACCGCACCAGGTTGTTGGCAAGGCCACAAAACCAGCTGAAAACAGGAGCCTCTGCTCCGTTTCACAACTTCTCAAAGCAGATCTTTTTATCCTAAGAGGTACAAGCCGGCAAGAGATGTGAAATACCACCTTGCCCAAGGCTGGTTACAACTTGGTCCTTATCTCCTTGTAAATAAAGGAAATCCATCGGGAACTCAGTGCTACTTACCCACCTCTGCCTCGTTCGGCTGCGGGAAAGGGAGCCGGTACCTCTGCACCAAACCTGCGGGCTGGAACATCACACGGTAACATTCAGAGCTCAAACAGCAACGGCCTAAATCGCCCTTCAACCCCCCCATCCCGGGCACCAGCCGCCCCCGCAGACACTCGGGACTGCAAACCAGGGACTACGGGAACAAAGCACCCCCATACCAAAACGGGGGTTACCAGTCTATACACATAGTCAACAGGCTTCGCGAGAGACTGTTTTAGCAAGCACAGTTTAAATCAAAGAAACAAACCAAACAAAAGACCAACAGCCGAGTGAAAAGAATTCCTGGATTTCCATAGGAGAAACACCTTCCTGTTGTAAATTGCAGGGATTAAAAACGCAAACGAAGAAAGTGTTGTGCTTATGCAGTGATTTGAAGAAAAGCTGTTTAAAAAAAAAACCCAAACATTGTTTGCCAAGAAGCATGTACACATACTGGATTAATTCTTTAGGATGATTAATTGAATTTATTGCACATGATTAAGTGAAAAGTTCTGACATTTCAAGGTTTAATTACGAAGAGATAACAAATCTACTTTGTTTGTTGTTTTAACCACCCTTAAATTTTCACTCAAGCTGATTAAAACAAGTGATCAACACCCCGGAGAGGGCTGACTTGAAGGCTGTTTCCATAAACTTTTGCTCTCTGAGCATCAGCCCTGCCGAGGGAAGCCAACTGCCCAGCAGCAGAGCCCGCTGCCACAGCCGGTGCGTCCCGAACCCCGCCGTCCCGCCGCCGGGACCACACTCTCCCACGGACGGGGAGATGAAGGGTACGGAGGCAGCTCACCTGAGAAGGGATTTGGCCTTCGGGTGATGCTCGGGTCGCAACAGCAGCTTTCAGGCGCAGGGTGCGGGCAACGGCCTGGCTCCAGCGCAGCTTCCCAGGGGTGGACCAGCGATCTGCGGCGCGGTCAGCTCAGTCTCAGGGCAGATTACACCACGAACTGCGCCAGCAAACGCCGCGCGAGTAACGCAAACCCACTCCGCTTACAGACCAGGAACACCCCGAGTCGATCGGGGGGTCCCGCTCCCGCGTCAGGCTGCGGCAGCACCACTGACCTGCTAGAAAGGGGCCACATGAAGATTGTCGTTTTTCCATTAAGAAAACTCCTGGTAATATCAGAAAGAATTAAAACATTTATTGGGCATAAATATATTACATATACACTACAGATACAGTTAAGTCTTACATACATAGTGTAGTATTTGCAAAATCTATACATTAAAATTGATATGGCAGTTTTAATACAATGCATATGAAATAGTCTAAAATTTACAATACAAGAAAATGCATGATTATTTATTTATTTATTTTTTAAAGTTGAAAAGCTTGGAATGTATGTTCCCATAGTGAGGTAAAAACATTTTGTTTTATTTTTCAATTTAAAGAACTGTGCAAGGACAAAGTTGATACACATTCAGTTAGGGCACTTCTCGATCGTGACACTGAATACTGAGCTGCTGTAGCCAACAAACAGGGTTAGAAAACGGTTCAAGTTCATGAAGAAAAAGGCAGAACAGTATAAAAACATCTCTCTCCTTCCTTAGGGGTTTTAAATATTTAGTGTTTCATTCTACCTTGCTGTTGTTGACAATTCCTTGGAGAGCTGAGCGCCCCCGGGTTGGATTCAACGCCTGCTATTGCGGGATCGAAGGGCAGAAAGGCGTGGGGGAAAGGAGACGGCATCAGCCAACGGTGGGTCCGCGGAAACGGGAACCCGGGAAGGGCTTAACGCCTGCGAGCCTTCATCTTTTGTTAACGTTACCGACGACGGTCAGGTCACCACGGCTGAGCAGACCAACTGCAAGGGTGGGAAATGAACTGATCTGGGGCCTGTCCCAACTCTACAGACCACTTACCGTGATAACTCGGGGTCGGGCTGGGCACTCTCGTTAGCGTGACCGTAAGGGACACCACACTAATGAGCAGTGACAGAAATGCTCCAGGCGTGACCGACTGCTTTTCTCGACACTTCCGCTTCTAGTGTCGCTCGCGTTTCAAACCTTCAAAACTGACCAAGCCATCCAACGCAAGGTGGGGTTTTTCTTTCATTAAAGCATTTTTTTTTTTTTTAAAAAAAGGTGTCAAGCTTGGATTTCATAGCAGCACTGCTGAAAGATTATTCCACAAATAAAAAAAAAAAAAGGGGGAATTATTACAGTTTCTGGGTTTCCCAACTAGCAGTCGTTTCGCTGTTTTAAACAATACACTCTTTTCCAGCTGTATATGCTTGGCTCACAAACTACAGATGCAAGGTCACAAAGTTTCATACCACCAATAAATTTAAATAAGATGTAAATAAATTTGACGAGCCACGACTTTGGCAAAAAACCCCCCAAAAATATATATATTTAGCTCAATGCCATTAGTTTGCAAGGCTAAATTAAACTAATTATAGTCAATAACAAAATACAGAACATTCCTAATATCTGCTACATCTAGAGAGGCACACAGAATAATTCACTGGTCTTAGCACTTTTTTTCCAGAGATGATTATGTTTTTGGATACATGTAAACGTTTGAATCACTGATAATGGTGTGGTGTTGGTTTTTTTTTTTTTTTTTTTTGGCATTTAATGTACTAGATGCTCCCATCTTCAAAAACACAAGAAAATGTAAGGAGATTAATAATACTAGGAATGCTGCCAGGTAAAAAGTTGACCTAAAGTACAACAGTATAAAACAGACAAAATATAACATGCTATGGGGAGGGTGGGCAGGGGGATTAGTACATAAGTACACTTCTTATTTTTTATTTTTTAACAATAAATAAAAGATTGCACTGTAATTGGTATTTAAAGTACTGTATGCAGTATATAGTATAAATAAACCTAAAACACAAATAATGTTGGTTTTTCCCCATTACTTTGGTTAAGGGAATATTATGCTAGTACAGGACACTGAATCTTAGACGATGGAGACAGAGCACAAAATAGCTAGGACAAAAGCAAAACCAAGTAGCAAAAATATACAAAAACAAGAGGCAGGGAAATACACTGTGTCTGTTGCACCCTTTTGGAATCTACTTGCACCTCCAGCTCATTTATGTCCCTGAGGTACTCACACAATGTTGACTTGACATAAATAATCCAATGACTGAAGAGTTAAAGTTCTAGCATCTCGGTGGATTAAAACGTGTATCTCGGAAGGGGCAGGCAGGAGGGGGGGGGGACACTGCCATCAGGGCACGACTCTCGTCTGAATTTTGTCGTGTACCAAGTCATTTCAATTAGCAGTGTGCTAAGAATAGCACAGACACCCACTGAAGGTATTTAAGATAAACAGATCTCATTTCCGATGCCTCTAAAAAAGTTCCATAAAATGGATACCCCTCCAAAAATTAATAATAATAATAAAAAGATCAACTGACAGTAAAGTTTGCTTACACTGAGTGTAAATCTCACCTAATTCAGTAGAGGCAGTAAGCTGTCACCAGCTCTAATCATATAAATCAGGCTGAACATTACAGACTAATATCTAGTATTAGATTAGGGATAGTTATATACAGTGACAAACAGACAAGTTAAAGCAGCTTTTAAATAGCTGAACATGGGAATAGCTAACTATTGCACAATGCCCTCTTACTTAAAATTAATGCTAGGAATCAAAAAATGGTAAAAAAAAATCTAAAATGCTTCATAACTTATATGCAGTTTGGCTATTTGATTTCGTATACAGGCAGTTTATAGTGTTGTAACTGTAAAAATAACAGAGAATTAAAAAGTTTTTTTGACTGCAGGATATTGCTCCGATTTAAATGCACTAAACAGTTAAAATACCAACTTACATTTTGTCTTGAAAAAACGAGGGGCAGGTGTAGTGAATAATTCACAGGCAACATGGCTAATACTGTTTAAGGAGAACCTGGTACTGTATTCTAGTCTTACCACTAAACACACTTGTGACTAATGTTTAGAAGGAAAAAGAAGAGACTCATGATTAAAATTCCCTAAATCGTAAGGTAAAATAAGAGACTGTATGAACTTCAGTGAAAAAAAACCCAAAACGACGTTGAAAAGGCGTATCGGTGACAATTTTGAAGCCGTGAAGGAAAAAAAACCAACCCAATAACCTTGATTTGGTATCTGGTTTGCTTGTTTCTCCAGTTTGACCACTTCTTAGTTTTGAATTTCAAAAAGGTGCATCAAGACACTGATTTATCTTTCTTCAAGCTAGAACTGTAAAAACAAGAGAAGTATATAAAATGTATGGTAGAACAAAAGGATTTCAAAAAAAGGAATATCTGAATAAATGTGTGGATTATAATGCGTAGCATTAGTTAAATTTGTCTCTCAAACTTCCATTGAATTCTCTACTTCATAAAGAAGTATTGTAATATACAGGCGAATATAATCGACAAACTTGCAAAGCCAAGAACAATGAGGGCTGCAAACTGTTCATCAGTAGGAATCATGCTCTTGATCTTCGGATCATCTATGCTTCCCATTTCTCCTGCAAGCATGATCTCATTTCGCTGAAGCATAAAGGCAACGGATGGGCTGAAAGGTCCACTAAGTTCCTGTGAGGTATCCAAGCACCGGCGGCAGACGCAGACGCGAAACCGATAGTCTGTGTTGACTTGAAGGCCTGAGATGTGGAATGTGGTCTCTTCTCCCTTGTAGACCTTCAAAACCAAACAGCAAGCACAGTCAGACACAAAGAGCAAGACAGCCTCCTCCTTTCACAGCATCGAATAATTTAAAAATGTAATGACGTTAGATTTTCCAAGGATTTGAGCCAGATAGTTGGGCTGAGCCTGAGTCTCTGAAGGAAACCCTTCCCTTGAGAGGTGCAGAAGTCACTCACGTGGAGGACTGTCCAAGAGACTTCAGACAATATATCAGCCATAAGGCGCACTCATCCTTTGTGGGTGTGATAAATACTACAAACACGCTTCTGTACTCTCAAACCGTGACTATGTGCCTAAAACATGTCCCAGACATAAGCCACGTGTTTGGCCCCAAAAGGAAGAAAACCCACAAAATGAGATTATTGGAAGGCATTCGGTGTATAATCGTAAAAATTGGTTACAAATACCATTTTAATTTACTTTCCCTCACATTTCTCTCAAGAGTCAGCAATCTTGCCAGAAATTACACTTTCAGCATTGTGGAAACAATAAAATATTATTAAGGTATAAAAAAGCTCCTCTTGGTTGCATTCTACTCGGTTCTTTAGCAATCCAAACCCGGCACGTATTTACGTTAATCAAATGTAGGTACCGCACGACTCGGAGCGTGAGTCACAATATGAGAAAGAAGAGAGATAACGGAGTATCTAAGAGACAGTTTTGAGACTTAAATAGAAAAAGACCACTGGAAACATTTATGAACTCTGAAAACAAATAAGCAGTCAACAATTTATCTAACGGAGGGTTGTTGAAACTGGTATTTTATGAAATGAAAAACGTGTCACAAAGTGCCTGTGTCTGCTGGAAAACAACAACCTGAACTTCAGATGCTTCTCAGCTCCTTTAGCCAGTTTCCTTCTCCTCGCTGAGGGAGAGCGGGCTGAGAGCATCTCTGCCCTCCCGGAGCTAAGAACTCAACCTAGCAAAAGGTAACAAGAGGGAAATTAAACCTGAGCCGATGGAGGACTTCCTGTGCGCTACTCCGGAATAAGAAATACAGGAGGAAGATGAGACACGCTCAGCTAAACACCACTTCAAGAGTCCAGCTCCTGCCCATGCTTGCCCCCGAGACATCCCTGGGTGAAAAAGCCAGTCGCCGTCTTCTTAAGACGGTCTGGGACAAAAGATGAAGATTTTTCATCCGTTCGCTCTCTCCCCTCCTTTTAAACTTTCAGTGTTTCCAAACACACTTTGAGTGATGGTGACTCGAGTTTCCAGACTAAGCCAAAGCCCTCCACTGCCTCCTGCTTCTTGGCCCCAAGGCATAAAGCAAAACACATCGTTTAAAGAAAATAACTTCCTCAAGTATGCTCAGCATTCCCGGGAAGTTCGCTGTAGCTGAAGGAATGCAGGAATACAACAAATTCATACTGTGAACCTCTGCTATTAACCACAGCTATGCACTGTTGCCTTTCTCGTCCTCTTTGCTCGTCTTCCCAACGCCAACGAGGAGCGAGCCGCCGAGTTACAGTAACACAGTAATTGCAGGGAAAACAAAATTGCAAGTGCTGTAGGGGTCCATAGAAACAATGTGAAGGTTGAAACGTCTGTTTGCAAAGCATACCTCATCCCAGAAATATCTCTGCTGCCCTCTTTTACAATGGCAATTCCATTTCTAATACCCACCTACTCCATCATCAATGCTACATATCTTGTGGGTGATTAATCCTTCAGTTTACTCCCAAATATAAATGATCATGCAAAGAAAAGTTGCACGCATTTGGCACGTAAATGTAGGTTCTGTGAATAATGTAAAAAATTACATGTTCTTCCACAGGAGCAGAGTCAGGATTCTTCTGTTTGGAGGATCTATCTAAGTCCCATTTCTTTAGCCTCTTGAGACATAACTCAAGGCACCTATCCTTACAAAACCAATGTAAGCAAGATGTGTTTTCTGGTGCTGTGGGAATTATTATTTTCATAGAATCACATAATCTTTTAGATTGAAAAGACCTTTAAGATCATAAAGTCCAACTGTTAACCCAGCACTGCCCAGCCCACCACTAACCCATGTCACTGAGCACCACATCCACACGTCTTCTAAATCCCTCCTGGGGTGGTGACTCCATCACCTCCCTGGGCAGCCCGTTCCAATGTCTGACAGCCCTTTCCATGAAAAAATTTCTCCTAATATCCAACCTAAACCTCCCCTGGCACAACTTGGGGCTGTTTCCTCTTGTCCTATCACTTGTCACTTGGGAGAAGAGACCAACACCCCCCACACACACTCCCCCTCCTTTCAGGGAGCTGTAAAGAGCAATAAGGTCTCCCCTGAGCCCCCTCTTCTCCAGGCTGAACCCCCTGAGCTGCTCCTCACAGGACTTGGGCTCCAGACCCTTCCCCAGCTCTGTTTCCTTCTCTGGACACACTCCAGCCCCTCAATGTCTCTCTCACACTGAGGGGCCCAAAACTGACCCCAGGATTCGAGGTGCAGCCTCACCAGTGGTGGGATGATCCCTGCCCTGGTCCTGCTGGCTGCACTCTTCCTGATGCTGACCAGGATGCTGCTGGCCTTCTTGGCCACCTGGGCACATGCTGGCTCATATTCGGCTGGCTATCAACCAACACCCCATTTCAAAATGCATAATCAGAGGACCTTTACATGCCTTTGCCATAAATGAACCTTTGCAACCAGTGTGACCACTTCTAAACCAAAATAAAAATCTATTAAAATCCAAATAGTGACATTTTATAAAACTTGTACAATCTAAACTTCATAAATTACACTTAACAGATACTAGGGATGGGATATATGCAACCTGCCTTTGCAATGGAAAAACCTGTCCAGGTAATTGTTTTTCAGTTGTTTTGTTCTGTCAGGGTGGTGAATACGAGTGTAACTGGAGGCTAAGTTTGGCTGAATCAAAGACCTGTATCTTCATTACAGTCTAACAGATACAGATGACCAAGGTCACTCAAGCCAGCTACTCAACAGCACTTCTCAGAAAACGCCAGACAGTCAAGTGAGAGAAAAGTGCACCTTTAAAGAAAGTCTGAAAAACAGCTGAAAGTACACCGAATACATGAATTAATATTCACAAAAGATAAAGACAAAACATTTCCTGCACTAGAGCTAGACAGGTTGTAGAAATTAACCTGTTTCAAGTGGTTTGATGGGTATTTAGAACCAGTGGAGCCAAGTCCTTTCTCAGTAGCAGATAAAAAAATTACGCTGCTTAATTGTCATTCACTTCTGACAGCAGCCTCTGTATGCTCCACACCCGCTGCAGCGAGCACCTTGGACACGCTACTGGCTCCAGCTCTGTTTTGCCTGCAGCAGTGCCTGTAGGACCAGGCTAAGCCAGCACAGGATGCTCTCAGCACAAGGGTCTAAGCTTGGTTGTGACCAGAGTTACACTCCTTGAAAGGACTTCACGTACACAATGGAGAAAGAAATTGAGAGTGTGTATAAGTGTGTGTATCTGCTACACAAATACAAACCCAAATACAACTGTATAAAGCAGCATACTTCCTTATTTTTAGCACGTTATGCTTTGGTGGCCAGTAAGTCCAAGTAAAGTGGCTGCCTAATGTATGACTTTCAGTTCCTAAAAAAGGCTTTTCTGTTTAGGCAGCTGATAATAAAAACATGATCATGTTTTTTCCTTGCTCCCTCAATGAAAGTATCACAAGTAATAAACTGCTGCTGAAGCCTCTTAGGGCAGTGGATCCTACTGATCAAGCTCAGGAGAACTCCTGTAGGCAAGTATTTCTCAATTTCACTGATGTCATTAAGTAATTCCAACCCCCTCCATCTCTTCAAATTAACCGACAGCCACAATTGCCCTATAAGCAACACTCTGGAGAGCGTAAGATAACCGTACCTGGTCGTTTCACCCCATTGCGGTGACCAGCGTATTTAATAATTAATAGGAGCCTATTTTGTATGGTGATAAGATCAAGAATGAGAGGCAGGTTTCAGTCTAATTAGAAAGCATGCCCACTTGAAAGGTTCAATTTATTCCAAGTCATCTGACAAATGTCTCTAAGAAATTGGCCTATTATTTTATTCAAACTCAAAATCAGCTTCATTCACTCCACTGTTCGTAAATCCTGAAGAGTTGTGTGGACAACCCAGTCTCCTAAAAAAAGCAAACAAGAGCCCCTCAGATCACCTTCCGCGAGGTGGGCTGCTGAAAAACTAACAAAAGGGAACTATTTGCTCCATCTCATGATGCAAAACTGTCAACAGGAGGCAGAGAAAATAATGCATGTAGCACTAATAATAAAAGCCAGGGTGTACTGCAGAATTATGCTGAAGTTTGGCATGCAACTAGCACAAGAGCCTTTGACTTGCTAACTAAAATAGAGAGGGAAAACCAATTTTTTGCTGATTAGAGCTTCACACAAACTAACAGTGCACTGAATTTGCTTCAGAAATCGTGTGTCTGCAGAGTCTGCAACAAAGCAAAAGCAGTGATAAAGATTAGAGCTTGGTAAGGCCAACCGGGTTCTCCCAGGTGTTCACCTCCTGGTGCAGACCCCACCACATTGCTGGAGGGTTTTTACACACCCAGTGTATCCTACTCATATCCCTTTTTCTTTTGGAAAGCATCTGGGGACAGTTTTCTCCCAGAAGAGACGTGGCATAAGCTGATGAAACACCATCGCCTCCGAATTCTCAGAAATTTCAAAGGTAGAACATGGCAAACAATTTAGGGACAAGGAAGCTCTAAAGCTCAGCTCTCATTTCCCGTGGGCAGCTCTTATGAAGAGCTTTGGCTCCTCCACAATCCAGTCAAACGCAAAACTTAGGCTGCCAGTGTAACAACCATTATCCCAAGCTTCTGCTAGCATGGCACAACCCAGCCCGCTCCCCTAACCCCAGGTTGTAACTATGCCAAGCTGGAGATGATTTTAACACACGTTAAAGCTAGGCTCTGACTGAGCAAGCTTTGCTAGATGGAAAGTGCAAGAACTGGAAAAACAAACCCGGGCTACCAATTCCTGGAATCTGCTGTGATTTACATCCTGATTTGTAAACAAGGCAAATTGGATTTCCTAAAAAGAACTGTCATACACCATAGCATTGTTGGAGTATCTGAATAGATAAAGCATAAAAACACACAAAAAGGAACACATCGCTTGGGAAACAGGAAAAGGAATATTCAATATTTTTTTAAACGCACTTTTTAGCTAAAACGTTATCTGTTTAGCTCCTGCCAATCCAGTTCTTCAGACAATTCTCAGCAAAGAAGTATTTCCAACG